CTGTTGTGTGTCTCCAGCAAGGGTAAAGCATTAATATGATTATTAACATATATGCATGATCTCACGTTTTCTCCAGGTACGGCAGAATAAACTGTTCCCCCTGAATTTGTTAAGCCTCTTATTTGGCCCCTTTATATCCAAGGTTCCTGAGTAAGTGCTACGTCTACTTTACCTTCAACAAGTTGTCAACATAAAATTGCCATAGCAGCCTTGCTGTGGTGTAGGTTAATTTGAATGACTCGTATGTTGTGTGTAAATGTCGTGTGTATGTATGTGTTCTGTGTTCATTCTGTAATGCTGGTAAAGGTGTCCTCCTCCATACCTTATTCCACAGCACTTTTTCTTTTATCGGACCTGGTTTCCTCCAAGGGAGGTCCCTGATCTAGTAAGCTCGGGTTGACGAGAGGAGGGATTGTCTCCTTCTCATCAGATACTCTCTTCCGGTCTACTGAGGGAGTGGCTACATCATTCCCCTCCCCCTCAGAGGCCAAGTTGGAAGATATTGTAACTGACACAGGTTCTGCCTGATGTTGAACTTCAGGATCATTCAGCGCCTTAACGGTCCCCTGTGAGAGTCCTGTGAATATTTTGTAACCAGTCCTCTGTATAATAGTATAAGAGTCCCAGTCTATGAATAAGATAAGCCTCTGGCCTTTTGACTCAGATTGCTTATCGAGTACCATCCAGTTTTCAGTATGAAGTCCTGGATTGAGGTCTGCAATCCATTTCAGCAGCTCTTCCTGATTCTGGGCAACTTTGTTCTTAGTCCGGAGAGCCACTTTAACAGGCTTTGGCAGGTTCCTGGCATCAGTAGCCTTCAGCCTGGCTACTGATTCCAGCCTCTGGTTGCCAATGGCTTTGGCGAGCCATTGACCAGACTGTTGGTTGGCACACGCATAAGCAAGTGCATAAGCAAGTTTCCTTGAAGATAGCTACCTTTATATTGGTCAGAGCCTCCTTGTAAGTCCCTGGGCCTTTTCAGAGTTCTGGCCGTTTCTGTAGGGGTATTGCCCTCCAACCTTGGCCTCTTAAAGGTACTGGTGGGGGTTTCTCCCTGATTGGACGAGCCTGCATTTCCTGGTTGCTGACTGCCCCAAGTTCCTGCTTTGCTTGACCCAGCTCTTGCTTTTCTTAACTTCTGTCTAGTGCATCCAGACAAGGCTTTCTTCGCTAGACGGGGTCCACCTACTCCAGAGACTAGGTGTCCCAATCCTTCTCCTGCTGCAGGTGTGCTAGAGGTACTAGCCCCCTGCAGTGGTATGTCAGTACTACTGACTCCCAAGAGAGGAGTTTTTGGTTTTATCTCATGTAGGTTTTGAACCACTGGTTTGTCCCTGCCTTTGGCTAAAAGTTCCACAGCAGGTTCACTGGTTGCAACTGGGTCCCTTAGTGGTTTGTCAGCGCTTCCAGCCCCCTGCTGAAGCATTTCTCATAGGGATCCCCTTGGAGGAGGGTCCCTCTTCAGTTTTAGGTCCTTACGACAGGTTTTTTATTTGGTTCCTTTCATTTTGGTCCCACAAGTCATGGAGATTTAAAAGGTCGCCACCCACAGCGCCACATACAGGTGGAAGGCATAGCAGCCCTCAGCACGATGCCTCAGACCTTGGCTTAGGTGGTCTGGTCCTGTAGTGAATGCAACCCTCACAAGCCTTCAGGACCAAGAGTGCCTGTTTGGGGGGAGAGGGGTATCCCAGATGATAAATGGGAGTGCGACACCATTTAGTCATGAGGTTGTGATCAGGGCAACCTACTCGAGAGAGTCACCCCTGGGGGTGGCTTATGAGCTCCCCCATTCCCACCCCTCCACATGGGTTTGTCAAACCATTTTAGAGTGTTGAGCCCTAAGGCATGCGGCACCTTATCGGTACTCTAGGGAGACACCTCAAATAGCCGAAGCTACCCCCATGGGAGTGCTCTCCTGCATTCATCCTGGGTAAACAGTAGTGATACCCAAGAGTCATTATGCAGCCACATGGGAGGCTCTGGTCATAATGCCATTGCCTTTTATGGGAACTCAGCCGCCAGCCCCGGAAGGTCATACTCATGCAGACCCCAAGACTATCGTTGCCCAGTGGGACCATGAGGTGTCCCAAAGCTGTGTCCCATCGCATCCCTGGTCCATGATGCGTCCCCACCAAAGACACAGCTGTGGTTCGGCCAACCTCATAGAGGATGGCATCATTACCACCTGTAACATGTGACATAAGAAAGTCACAGTTACACCAGGATCAAACTCGGGCTGCCTAGAATATACATAAGTTTAACTGTATAAAGCTGATTTCAAATTAGCTGAGTTTAAAAATCATTCAAGTGTGCCTGCCAGTCCCCAAGATATTGTGCTGTAGTTGTTTACAGGTTGCAGAGAATAGTGAAAGTGTTATAATTATATATGTCTCATACTAAGCACATGACAACAGGTGTCAGAAGTGGGATTGGATTGATTGAAGTGTTAGCATTGAGGATTGCATTGGATAGTTATATCATCACACTGCAAGACTGAGCAATTGATATAGCGTCTACTGGGCAAAATGAGAGCCACTCAAGGATTTCATGGAGGCTGGTCAGGAAAAGAAAGAGGCCAATGAAAGAAGGGTGGAGGACAATCAAGGAAAGATGACGACCAAGGTGGACACCACCATAAACACCATTCCGGAGAGGATGGAAGCTGCAATAAAGGCCAGCTAGGAATAAATTAAAGCTGAAATGAAAGCTGCAATTCAATCCAGTCAGTCAAAATTAGAAAAGACTATTAGCAAGTGAATGGATGGCATCCTGGTGTCTGTCGATCACTGGACGGGGTGGCTGCCGATGGGGATACCCCAGGAAACACTTCACAGAAGAAAGTTGATGAAGGCCACAGAAATGAGTGGACAAAGCTAAGAAGAATAGCACCAATGCTATCATTTCTGTCACCTGTTTACACACTCAGCATGTCAGAAAACCACAATCATGACAGAATACCAAGGGATGAGTAGGATACAAGTCATGCCTTGTGACTATTAATACAGGATCAGTGGGATGAGTCATGGCACAGAAAAAAATGGTCATGAGTCCTATGGGACCTGGAGCCAATGACACTGTTGTTGAGGTTCAACAGCAGTTTATCTGACCAACCAACAGAAGAGTCATCTCCTGTCATTGAAGATACGGCCCTATTTCAAGCCACGTAAATGTTATATTTAAGCATCCTGTTGCATAATATATTTCCATCTACAATGAAACTTATTATTGCTCCATTTCCTTCTAACAACATATTTCGGCCATTCACAGCCATCATCATGTTCCTGTAATTTGCTAAAATTGTAGAACTGTGTGTTATGTCTGACTTCTCATATCGTACGAAGGGGGACCCAAAAATAACCGGAACCGACCTGTTGCGCACGCATGCTTTGTAGTTACGAGTTGTGCTGCTAGGTGGTGTTAGCTGGGGGTCTCCCGCGACTGTTAGTGAGCTGGCATCAGTCTGAGTTAAGTGGTTTGTCTGTGGTGCTCTGTTGTGTGCGTTCCTGTTTCAACCCTTTGGCGATTAGTGAGATGGCCGACCAGAAGGAACAAAGAGTGTGCGTGAAATTTTGCTTTCTGTTAGGGAAAACTGCAGCCGAGACTGTTGGGATGCTTCGGCAAGCCTTTAATGATGATGCTTTGGGGAAATCACAGGTCTA